CGTAGTGTTCGGACCCACCTCGTATCTCCGTGTATTCGCGCTCTGCGAAATTGTGCACGTCGACTGTGAATGTCTGATTTGTGTTTCTCGCCCATCATCAGCAGTGTGTCACTACTACTGCGTTGTGCTGACTCACATTTCGGACACGGTGTCTCACGCCGTTTCTGTTATTTTGTCATTGGTATCTTCGCCGTGTGGGTTATCTATGAATGACCGTAAACAACACAACAAGAAGCTCCGGTGAACATGAACTATGGCTTACCGTTTCCCTATACGCAGCCAGCACGGCCTTTTTCGCTTCAGAGGCTCGATCATCCTCGTGATCAAAACTAAGCAGAGCTGTCTGAGTCAGATTGAGCGGACCACCGGCCTCATTGTCGGACGATCCGACCGAGCTGGTCGAATGACCCCATGTTTCTTGATAGATAGCCATAGCAATAGGATGTCGACGAAGAACCATTGCTAGATCAGCTGGGGGTAATTTGGCTTGGTCTTGTAACGCAGCAACCACTACTGCAATTAACTCCGGATTACCCGTTTCAACAGCGCGCACCAGCGCACGATCGAAGCGACCCAATTTGATAAGCAATGGAACTTGCTGCCAAGCACGCGGCTCATATTCCAATAGCTGCTCGGCTACTTTCTCACGTCCGGCAATCAGTGCCTCACTCGCGACCACGGCAAAATTTATATGCGCCACAAAACCTAGCGCGTTCCCATACAGAGATTTGGGTCGGGATCGATCGTCTGAATTAGTGTCCAGAGCACAGCGAATAGTTTGCAAAATCGCGGACAATCGTTCACTGATAAACGCAGAATCTTCGGACGCTCCAGAAGTACTATGACAGGCCCAGTGTGTGAGTAATTCTGTCAATCGCTTATCACGTCGCTCGGCTGTTGTCTCAGCTGAAGATTGCTCTTCTATCCCCAAACGGATAAATTCAATCGCCATCGGATAGTGTTTGCGAGCCAGTAGTCTATCCAAAAGCCGCTTTGTACCCAACACTTGTAATTCACGCCAAGTCAAAGCCATCCCGATCCAAGGAGCAGCCAAATTATTCAACAGACGAAGTGTGCGACAAACAGAAGCAGTACGTTCCGCCCTGATAAAAAATAGGGAATGAATTGTAAGAAGAAACAGCAAATGAAACCTCGACGTACTAAAATAGTCCTGCAACAAATCATCCAGTAAATAATTCGCGCGCTTTCTGAATGGAACTAACCCAATTATCGCAGTAGGACATTATAAAAGTGAAAACATTACACATCAGAGAATGAATTTTGTGATCGACTGTCTTTCCCTTTGTGAAAGTGAATGTGGGATAGCCTGGATAGGATATTAAGCAGACCAGTGCTTTGTTGGGCGAAATACGTGCTGCTCGCGTTTGGTAAAGGCTGGGAGCCTATTAACGCACATTGTCACCGTATTAAATGATGATATGAGAGGACAACTAAACTGAGGTAGATAATTTAAGGTAGCGGGAAAATCAGTGTGAATGAAAATCCATCAAATTGCTGGTCACATTTTACCGTGTACGCTAAAGATCCAAAAAAAAACCGGGAAATGATTTTAATAAGTTTTCTGAGGCAAAAATGGCAGATGGAATCTTTCAGCGATCCATGGGTGTGAATACACGCAGATAAAACAAAGAACACTGAAAGGTTATAAACAAGAGCGGGACAGAAAGATTGGCCATAATGATGCTTAATAACCCGGTTAGGGTTGCGAACAGTCTACAACCGAGAGACCCGGTTTAGTGAGTAATGTAAGTGTAACCCAAAATAAACGAAATAGACTACTTGAAGACAATAAAATTCCATTGAAAAGAAGTGAATTAAGGAAATCATGCTCAACAGATCCCTTAGCTTTTGTCACTGAAATGTGCAACAGAACAGAAAAAGGCAGCAGCAATACCGATCATGTATTCGGGACTGCATAAGGAGCGTAACCTGGTTTAGGGGTGGGTGCCACTACAACCATCAGGAAGAATGAATATTTTACCTATGGAACAATTTTTCCCTTCCCGCTCCTTTTGAAAATCCGCCCACACATATTTCTCGAATCCACATATCTACGCAATCTGCACCTTTTGAGCACAACTTTTTTGCACCACTTCTATAGCAGTTCGAATCAAGTTACTCGTTGCAGTTTCCCTACATCACACATTTACTCACCGGAAGTTCATGCTAGAACAGACCTCGTTAATTACCAAACTACGAAGGCAAATGCCTGGTGGGAAATAACACAGAGAAATATCTTCGGGTTACTGGATTTTTATTCAATGAAACTATCAAAATGAGTAGCGCTGAGCGTTGCATTGTGAACTACCTTCAATCAACATGACACTTAATTTCTTCTCAATTAAAACAGAAAGTTTTAATCCACTATCCAATATACCGCAATATGTAGCATTTTTACAGAGGCGAACAGCACTTTCACTCGTTTGGCTTCGCAAGAGAGCCACTTATCGGATTATTTCCAATGGTTAGCAATGTGAACTGATGACCACAAAAAATCTGTTCATGTGCGAGAATAATACCACTAACCGTTCATAGATTAGAGGAAAATTTAATCAATCGAAACTTGAAATAACTCACAGTTCTTTAACTTTTTTATCCACTAGAGTCTTATCACTATCCGAGAACATTGCCGACATGAAAATTCTGCCCATGTTGGCCGCTTCGAGCAAACTCTTTTGGCAATCCGTATCAAACGATGCGTGACAAGCAGCTTCAATGCAATGTGAGATTGCTTCACTCATCTGTTGCGCGTTCTTAATTGGTAGCAGGTAGTCGTTGGTTCGCCCAGATCCCTGTTTCAAATTGGTACTGGCTGAAAGAAGCCAAGTGGCTGGGCAGGAAGCACCGATACGTCCCAGCGCTTCCAGGGCTGGTGGTACGCGTTGTAACAATTCATGTGAGGTTGGAGTCAAAATCCGAACGCCATCGAACTGAAACACGCGATCGGTGAATAAGCGCATATATGTGTGCTTGAGGAAAAAACAAGCTAGATATTAGTGAAAATTTCAAGTTCATATTTTACCTGCAGTTGCACGATTTTCCGGTAAACTCAGTTGAATTTTAAAACTTCCGAGAGATAGGTTTTAAAAACGCTTTCAGTAGAGTTTCCAGTATTTTCCAATCTCTTCTACGAAACTCTGAACGATCAATCAATGAAACTATCAATTCGCGCAGAAAACTTCCATGGGAAGACAACCACCGAAACCAAACACTTGAAATTGTTCTTTTCAGTTCAGTTTAGTTCGAACAATTATCAACCATGCACTTTCGTGAGCCAATTTTAGTTGCTATCATTTGGCCGCCCATTTGGATGAACAGTAGGAGAAGAACAAGAAAGTCGAAAGTAGAGTCGAATAAAAAAAGGAGAAGTTCAGAGGACTAATGTGGCGAAGAAATTGGGAAGATGCACGAACACCATTGCTTACGACACTCAACCACATCACTAAAGACATCTCTAAACATCGGTTTCGATCATCCCGAGATCCCCAGCCAGCGAGCCTAACAGATCTTCGCTTAACAGCATAATGTCGTCTGTATAGTCCAGATCAGACAGTCTGCCACTTGGGAGCAAATCGATGCCATTACGCTCGCAGCAGGTGGGGCTGTCTCCATGATCAAATTTATAACGAAGTTATATACGAAAGGAGAGGGAAGGCAACCCTGACGAACATCAATTTCTGTGGCGAACTCGAGCGAAAAAGTGCCGTAAGCCCGAACTCTAACTCGGCAATTAGTATAGAGGGATTGCGATATTGAAATAAACTTCTCGGGCACACCCTTTAGAGCGAGGGACCGCTAGCGCTTAGAGCGGTCGACTGAGTCGAAAGCCGCTTTCAAATCGAAAAACAGAGATAGTGGGTTTACGAAAAGAGTGTCTGCGCTCTAGGATTTAACGAAGAGTAAAGATGTGGTTGATACAACCTCGACCAGGTCTAAAACCAGCCTGGTTCTCACGTGTGCACCCTTCACGTGCGGCAGACAATCGACGGAGTATGATGCCAGCGCGAATTTTAGAGACGACGTTGAATAAACTAATTCCTCAGT